ACTACATACATACATATATATATATATATATATATATATATATATATATATATATATATATATATATATATATATATATATATATATATATAATTTATTCGAAATATGTGGTGGAACCTACTTATTTAACATTCGCAGTTATTTTTCATATCATGGAGCCATTTATTCGTAAATAATCTTCAATTGAAGAGTTGGAAAGTTGAAACATATTATGAAAAAATCAAAGAAATTGAGTTTACTAATAATAATACAGGAAAAAATATATAAAAATGTAACATACTTTATTCTCATCCATCAATTCATAAGTTAATCATGTATTTCAAAATGAGATAAACGTGATGCATATTTATATTACAGTAATAAAGTTTGTTTGTGGTGGTCTATGTTTGGAGGCTTCCCATATGATTCACTCTGCACCGTTTCACCCCGTGATTAGTTAGTTAATCGAAGTCCGTTGCAAACCACATAAACAACCTGCTTGCATAGATAAATTGTTGCAGAAAAGCACAACTTAAAGCCTTCATCTTCTGAGAAAGGAAATCTATGAATTTGAAATGTTAAAAATTGAGCTTAAAAATATTTATTTCTAACTTGGAAAACTATTTTTTTATGGTGATGTATAACTTGAGTACATGAAGTGAAAATAATTGTTAACATACTTGAAAATTTGAATTTATTTGTTTCATTGAAAGAGGTATTGAAGTGAGATTGTTCATGAAGATTTTTGTGAGTGTGTCTATAACCGCATAAGGCACTTCAATATTTTCCACTGAAAAATCATGCAACCATTTCTGGACTAGTCTATGATAAGCATAAAATATCTATTACAGTGAAAATGAGAGCATATAACAAATAAAATAATAATAATGTGAAGAAAAAATTTACCGTCTGTCTTCATTTGTTTCACAAAAGTTAATCAAGAGACGAAGACACTTTACTTCATGAAGATCCACAATGTCTGTTCTACCATCACAAGAATCAAAAAATATTGCAGCTTCATCCTCTAGAACAGATATCTGATTCGAGTACGAAATGTTCAACAACTTACAACAAAACTCAAATAAAATTTTATTAACCAGCAACTTTTGTGTCTCTTCGCCATCTGTTCCAACAATAAACTTGTTATAATCTATATTTCTTTTCTTCATCAGCAAAAAGTGAGAAAAAACTAACTCTAGTTCATCAGCTCTGAATTGAAACAATATTATTATTTTGAATCTAACTAAAAATTACTAAAATCATTTGCATCATAAGCGGGAGGAGTTATTTTTAAATACTTGATTTTTAATGCTATTTTATGGCGGATGTTAAAATATTTAGTAACTTGTGGTGCTAGTGAGTGAAAAAAATCAGCCACAATAGCAAATCATGTAAATTTTTTTGGTTTCATAGCTAGTGGAACAAACTATCACTGCACGCCTCATACGCACATAACATACAAACACCATATCACATAAACTTTTTTCTTTATAAAGCAGCTCTATCGAACGCAGAACTACTTACATGCAATTTTATACTTATAATTAAACTTTCATGCCCCAAAGGCCTTACCTACTATCCCCACCACACGACATACATACTAATTATAAGTGCACGCGCAAGCACGTATTGCATCATACAGTATTCAAGCGAAGCCATCGCGAGTAAGACATTTTTTTAATTCTTTCAAATGTAGAGCTGCTTCCATGTTAACTTATATTTAAAACTAAACCTTTATGATACAAAGGCTGTACGATTCACATCACACGACGTACGAACATATTATGTAAAAACGTGCAAGCACAACATCATATGCGTATGATGGTTTTTGAGCTTCGGAAAGACAGTATTCAAACCATGCCATCGAGTAATAGCACTCATACCAACTGAGCTAACTAGCAGACCAAATAACATCGCACAAAAAGCTAACATACAAATATGAAATAAAAATCCCATATACACATATCACTTGACATGTCTTTTTTACCGACTGAGCCAATTCACAGACCAAAAAACATCCTAAAGCTAACATACATATATGAAATCACATAATGTGGCATATACAAGTCACACACACACACAAACAAACATCCCATCACATATAAACAGCACACACTAAAAACTCGCACAAACATCATACACAAACACCAAACAAACATTCACATACAAACGCCACACACAAACATCATATACAAACATCACATACTTTTTTGGCCAAATTTGTAAAGCAATATTATTTTCGTTAGTAATAGAAACAGCATTCAAGAAAATTTTCAAACAATGAAAACCTGAATATTTTAACGAAGTTAGAAGTTAGTTAGTAGTTTGAGTATTTAAATAATAAGCACACAAACACACAACACAATTATATTTGTGTTCTTAAACTTAATAGCAGAGTTTCATTAGTTTAGATATAAAAAAAACGAAATAATTAACACAACATAATATTTACAGCGGTGCACG